AGGGTAAATAAACATTTTTATTCGCTTTTTCTGGTATTCTGTTTGCCGAACGAAACAATGTTACGGAAAATGAGCACAGGTAATCCTTTGTAACGTTGCGTGCTTGGAAAGTTACGTTAATTATGGACATTTTATTTTTTTATTGCTGTTCTACTGGTTGTACACCCGTCCCTCGAATTACACGGTTTTCAAATTAAAAAAAAAAAAGAACGTATTTTCTGTTTTATTTCCTTTATGCATTTTTTTACGTATTTTGTTGTAACTCAGCGACGGATTTAACCGTGAGAAATTAATGCTAGCGACTCGGATAGTGATATTGTTCCACGAGCAAAGAAAAAGCGAGTCCCAGCTTTTGAATGTTCCGACGAAGACTGTTTTTACTTTGACATTATTTTTGTTTTTGTTAAAGAAAAGCTGTTTACGTTTATGTGTTTTTCCTTCCTGTAAATAAATAAATCAGTTGAAAACATGAAAATTTTACGTCTTTGAATACGTTTAGAATGTACTAGAGCATCGGCTTCGTGACTTGGCATTCAGTGGAACCGATCTCCATTTTTCCATACAATCCTTGTCTCGTTTTACACGGTTATCATGAACGTATCTACGAATTTTCTTCGTATTCACCTATCCCCCGATTTACACGATTTCACTTTTACACGGTTTTTCAATTTGCCCCGGCCCGGATCGAGAAGATCCGGGATAGTTGACGAGCGTGTAAAATGAATAATAATAATCTTGTTTCTGTATGTAAAATGAATCACATACATATACCTTTATATTTTTATCATTTTATGAATAGACCGGTATTTTTATGTTTTTTAAGATATATTTAGTTTTATTTTACGTTGAAATAAATGACTGAATTATCCACATTTTAGTTTCTTTTCGATTTACACCTATCTTCAATGTAAATCGGGGGATAGGTGTTCTTTGATTCGATTTACACCGCTTAAAATTTAGTTCCAATCCTTCTTTTTCATATGCAAGCTCTGTCTCGTTGTGTGGAACCTATCTACCGTGCAATTCGAGGGATATGCGTATTATTCCATTATTAGCAGCAACTGTTCTGATTTTTGCGAAGAAAATGTAAAATTGTGAGCAACCCTAATTTGTCCACTCGTGAACGAAGAAAAATTGGGTTACACGAGGGTTGATGGTTTATTTTGGAAGATGTACAGGGCGAGTCATGTAACTTGTCCATCCTAAATAATCTTAGAAAGTGTTTTATACGAAAATTGCATTAACCTATTCGTTTACGAGATGTCAAGATCGCTTTGAATTCTTTAAACGGAGTGTGTACCTTTTTGCGTGAAAATTTAAAGGTGCAATGAATTTTCTATAAAAGGAAGTATTAGGTTCCCTTCGATACCCTCCAATTTTTATATAAAACACTTTTTAAAATTGTCTGGGGTGGACAAGTTATGTGACTCACTCTGTATGTGCTCTGAAAACAATAAACTCCACGATATACGACGAGCCCCCGTTCAGTTAGGTTACATTATCTACTCAAGTTTTCTTCGTTCGTTGATTGCAATTTTACATTTTGAATGGAGAAGCAAGAATCAAGAATTATTATAAAAGAAAAATTACTGGTAATAGTGTAACCTATCTATTTAATTTGGAAAACGTGTACTTTCAAACTTTGTCTCAGTTTTGTATTTGGAAATCACGGTAAATCAACAATTATTATATAAAAAACAAAAATTGCTAATAACAATGTAACTCTTCTATTTCATCCTGAAAAAAAAATTCGAAAACACGTACTTCCGAACATTGTCTCAGTATTGTACCTATTTGGAAATCATAGCAAATCAACAATTATTATCTAAAAAACAAAAATTGCTAATACAGTGGATTCCGGTTAATTGGGACGCCGGTTAAGCGGGACCGCCGTTTATTTCGGACAGATACCGAAGAACGGAATATAAATACGTGCTTATTTACTTATTGTTAGCCTTCTTTGCATGCTTAAACACACATTTTCGATAAATCGTTTTTAGCTTCATTTTTTACGTTCTTCAGAGTTTGCCTGTTGAAATTCCCTTTTTTGGGACAGCCGCTTAATTCGGGCAAATTAGTCCGGTCCAAATGTGTCCCAATTAACTGGAATCCACTGTAATAATGTAATCTCTCTATTTAATCTTGAAAAGACAAATCTGGAAAACACGTAATTCCGAATATTGTCTCAGCATTACATTTGTAAATCACAGCAAATCAACAATGATTATAAAAAACATTGCTAATAACAATGTAACTCTTCTATTTCATCGTGAAAAAAAAAATTCGAAAACACGTACTTCCGAACATTGTCTCAGTATTGCACCTATTTGGAAATCATAGCAAATCAACAATTACTATAAAAAAAGAATCGTTGATAATAATGTCCCCTATCTATTTCACCTTGAGAAAAAGAAAAAGAAAATGTTAAAAACACGTAATTCCAAACATTGTCTCAGCATTACATTTGTAAATCACAGCAAATCAACAATGATTATAAAAAACATTGCTAATAACTATGTAACCCTTCTATTTCATCCTGAAAAAAAAAATTCGAAAACACGTACTTCCGAACATTGTCTCAGTATTGCACCTATTTGTAAATCATAGCAAATCAACACTTATTATAAAAAAAAATTGCTAATAATAATGTAACCTCTCTATTTAATCTTGAAAAGACAAATCTGGAAAATAGGTAATTCCAAACATTGTCGCAGTATTGTATTTGGAAATCACAGCAAATCAACAATTATTATAAAAAACATTGCTAATAACAATGTAACTCTTCTATTTCATCCTGAAAAAAAAAATTCGAAAACACGTACTTCCGAACATTGTCTCAGTATTGCACCTATTTGGAAATCATAGCAAATCAACAATTACTATAAAAAAAGAATCGCTGATAATAATGTCCCCTATCTATTTCACCTTGAGAAAAAAAAAAGAAAATGTTAAAAACATGTAATTCCAAACATTGTCTCAGTATTGTATTTGGAAATCACAGTAAATTAGCAATTATAAAAAACATTGCCAGCAACAACCCAACGAATCTGTTCAACCCGCAAAACACTTATCTACTTCCAAACAGTTTCTCAATACCGTATTCGTAAGCGATAGTAAACGTCTGGTCCCGTGACTGGGAAGGTTTAAAATCGGCGTATAGATCGATCGTATCGCGTAGCAGCTGACCATTGAGGCTAGTGCTAGGGCTATGAAAAAAGAAAAAAGAAAAAGAAGAAAAAAACGCGCGTCGACCGATCGTTAATAGCGATGCCTATGAAAACAGGGTGTGGCGCTGGAAAACAGCACAAGTACTTCGCAACAGGATCTTCAGAGCTATTCGCAACAACCGGTGCCCCAGCCACCGACGGCGACGTCCCACAGTCCAGCTGGCCACTACATTTATCAGCAACCGCACAGTCCTGTGCCACCGCAAAGTCCAGTCAGTATATCACTTTACTTTCCTTTCTCCCTCTCTTTTTTTACTCTTCGGATTTATATCGTTGCCACACAACATGCTGTCATACGTAAATTGTAGCAAAGAGAGAAAAAAGAAGGACTAGAGTGGAGGAAAAATTGTCATTTTTTTTTTTTTTTGGTCGGGTTTGGTCGTAGAAATTTTTGTAGATTTTTGCATCGACTCTGTGGAACTTGGACAGTTTTGTCGGATCAGGGGGTTAATTGGTTTTCAGTCGAAGGGTAAAGCGACGCGGGGGTCGTCGCGTAATCGCGAAAGAATCGTCCTGGAGATTTATTAAGGTCTTCCCGTGCTTGTCGCGTGTGTTCCAGAAGTCGTCGCAGACGCAACAACCGCAACAACAGCAGCTCAACTCGTTAGGCTCGTACAGGTCCTCGCAGCAGGTGAACAGGCCGTCGCCACAGTCGTCACCCGGGCTCACGATTCAAGTATGCTTACAGATCTTTTTTTACTTTTTTCTTTGTTTATCAGTTCAGCACTTGTGCCGGTATCTGGGTACACTTTTTGTGTATTTCTGGATGGATCGTTGTTACTTTGTGTTTGCCTCGAGTTTAGAATTCTTTCAGCGGAAAAGTATCGAAGTTTTAATTTTAAATTAAAGTAGACGACTATTGTGGCTATTGGCATACGGGTTAATAAGAGATTTGACGAAATTATAGAGTAAAGAGTCTTAGGGGATTCTAGACACTTTTGTCAAGATTTTCGTTTATCATTTTAACCCTCCGTCCGGCGCACTTATCTCCCATGCACAACCATAATTCAATGTATATAGACGCGATGCGTTGCGCAATGAATATGCAAATGTGCTCGAAATGTTGATGTCTTTTCTTTGCGCTCATGTTCTTCTATTATTCCTATGGTTTGGTTACCTCTTGAAGGCCGATCTCTAAGATCCAGTGCGCCCGATAGCGTTTCAGAAATGGGTGTGCCCGACGGAAGATTAATAAGAGACTCTAGGAACTTATAGCGAAAGCAATTATAGAGTACACAGTTGGAGGAAACTCGAGGGCTCTTTCGTCAAGATTTTCATTTGTCACTTTAATAAGAGATTTGGCAAAACTGTAGCGAAAACAATTATAGGGTAGAGTTTCAAGGGATTTTAGACTTTTTTGTAAAAATTTTCATCCATCGCTTTAATAAGAAATTGGACAAAACTATAGCGAAAGTAATTGTAAAGTAGAGTTTCAGGAGATTCTAGACTCTTTTGTCGAGCATTGTAGGAACGATAGAATTTCTGTACGCGTTTAACCCCTTAACCCATGATTTCTGTTCCGACTAAGCATCTAAGCGTCAGCCATTTACTGTTTCAGTACTCTACCAGGCAACAAAACCCAATCTCTCACGGATCAATTGCATTCGGTAATCCTCAGTCTTCCAAATTAAAGCGAAACTCAGGATTACAATTGGTAACTATTTTTCTCCCATCTTGACCAGAATCTCTGTCACGAGTCTGACACGTTGTTACAAGTTAAAGGGTTAACGCGAATCGAGAGTTAGGTGAACGGAGGGTAATCGAACTGGAGCGACAGAGGAGCGAGAGAAGAGCGTTTCGGACTAAGTATAGTCGGTGAAAGCGATATAGCGAGGTCGTAAAATCAGCGAAGCGTGAAAATACACGTAATCGAGGGAGATAAAGGAGCTCGAACTTGGTTCAGAGCCGTTCGATGTTAACTCGGAATTGGTCCTTCCAATGCAGTATATTTGAAAAATTTGTCCGCGCCTTAATCGGTGACAGCTGGTAGGTTCGTTTTTAACGGGAGATGAAGGATGCTTAAAATCGTACAGTTTAAATGACAGATCGATAAGTGGAAATTTTATACATCAATTCGTAAATGACGGACGGCACTGTCCACGGCCGCGTTAATCGGTGTCGCCGTTTAACGCTTTAATTTACGACCTCGTTGTATCGCTTCCATCGACTGTGCTTGAGAATATACCAAGATCGGAGACTAAATGTCAGCGAGGAATATCTTTCGTGAAATGAGAAGAAAATCGTAGTAAAGTGAGAAAGAGAATGTGCGAGTGCAAGAATAAAAGAGTCTGGAAGATGCGTACGATAGGTCAGAGTGGAAAAGTTAGCGAAGGAGGAACTATGCTTGAGAATAGATATGGATTTCGGTGGATGTGGCAAAATTTCTCGAAGAATGTCTGCGTAAAATGAGAGGAAAATAGTGATAAAAAAAAGAAAGGGAATGAACGAGTGCAAGAATAAGAGTCTGGAAGATGCGTACGATAGGTCAGAGTGGAAAAGTTAGCGAAGGAGGAACTATGCTTGAGAATAAATATGGATTTCGGTGGATGTGGCAAAATTTCTCGAAGAATGTCTGCGTAAAATGAGAGGAAAATAGTGATTAAAAAAAGAAAGGAAATGAATGAGTGCAAGAATAAGAGTCTGGAAGATGCGTACGATAGGTCAGAGTGGAAAAGTTAGCGAAGGAGGAACTATACTTGAGAATAGATATGGGTTTCGGTGGAGGTGACTAAGTGTCTCGTAGGAATAATAGATAAAGAAAGATTGTGCGAGTGCAAGAATAAAAGAGTCTGGAAGATGCGTACACCAGGTCAAGAAAGGAAAGTCAGTGTCAAAGAAGCTATACTAGAAACAGGGTAGATTTCACTAGATGTGACTAAACGTCTCCGAGGACTATCTGCGTAGAACGAAAGAAAAATCGTAATAGATAGAGAAAGAATGTGTGAGTGCAAGAATAAAAGAGTCTAGAAGGTACTTACGTCAGGTTTAGAGTAGAAGAGTCATTGTGGCAAACAGAGTAGAGGTAGCGTATTTTCGAGACACAATTCCTTACACCACCGTAGAATAGTACTAACACTAATCGTACCACACCCGGTCAAATGACCAGTTTCAAAATTTCATGTATAATTTTTTTTCATTATTATCTGTGAGAAAATCCGTCCCGAGGACGGTGAAGCGAGCATCTTGAAGCCAGGCCCAGCGCTTTGGGTTTTTCCCTGGGTCTGTTCGCGTAGGGGTGGACATGGGATCGGCAGGACTCTTCGCGAGACCCTCGAAGCACACTTTTCAACACTTTTTGCGAACGACGCTCAGATAACGCGGATATAATGTACTATTGTAAGAACGTAGACACGTTCAATTAATTTCACGCCCACCCTACTCCGAGTCAGAGTACTTTCTGACATATCTAAAAGCTGTTTTCTTCATTCTTTCCTATGAAACTGAAAAATATGATCTTAATTTCATAATCGATCGTTTAACCGTCTACGGTAAGAATAAGCACACACAAAGTGCCGGTACGGTTAGTGTTAAATTTAGTATTGGAAATGGATGATTGAAATAAAATTGTTTTTGTAACTGCTAATATTCAATTTATTCCACGACTCAGAAGAAATGTCGTTACCATTTGAAATGCTCTATCAAACTGTCTCTGGATACCCAAAACGGGAAAGCTGGGGTCCGCTTCTACATGTCGTTCAAAATAAGAGTAACCTCGCTCTCGGACCGATTCTCGTCCGTTCTGCGCAGAGACAGAGAGCGTAGCAGAGGGTAAGACGGAGAAAAACGTAGGCGGTACGGACGTTCTAGCCCTGCGTTGGGCACGTCCGATGCGCGAAGCGAGGTTACTCTTATTTTGAACAGAGTATACCTACGAACTGTTTACCCTATTGTATCGCAGTGTGCAGTGCTCGACTCGAAGACACGTCCGGTGGTCCTCCTAGTGTCTTTGTTCAGAAAAAACGTTGAGAAGTTTTTCTTCTCGTTCGATTATTTCTACAGGGTGTTCTTAGAAATAATCCAACATTTAGTTGTTCACTCTTACTTTCCATGAAATTAAACGAAATTTCGTTGGAAAATTACACCTGCCCAGTCTTAATCAAGGAGATCCACCAAACCCTACACTATTTAACATCAATCTTCCCATCTGTCACAGGGCAGCCCGTTGAGCTACAGCAACAATCCATCGGCGCCGCCTAGTCCCACGGGGCATCCTGGTCCACCGAATCTAACTTCGGAAAGCATCGACCAGAACAGTTACTTCCTGAACCAAGCGCAAGCGGCGGCGCTCCAGCAGGACTTCGAGCAGTTCACGATGGTTAGTAAAACGCGTCCGTTTCCGGTTGCAATCCGCACTCGCGGTTTTCAACCGCTCTCTCTCACGTTTTCCCCGCTGGCAACGATCCGAAAATTCGATATCAATTGCGGCTACCGTTTCGCGGTTCTCTGAATGACAAAATAGAGAGAAAAAAAAGAAACAATCATTTCAACATATGGTGTATATACTCGGTTCAACAAACTCGAAGTTGTCCCTCGAGAGAGAGAGAGAGAGAGAGAGAGACCTTACGAATCTCTCTCCCCTCTCTATTCTCTAGAGTGCCCCTATAGATATCGCGTTGCGTTTTATCCACCAACGACGGCTTTAACCGTCTTCTTTTATCGCTCGTTACGCCAAAGCTAAATCGATAGCCTCGACGCGGTTGAGAAATTTTTACGGGGGAGGAGCACATGCGCTCCCATCCTACCACCACTACTTCCGGTTCGCTTATCCATGCCTGCAATTATTTTGCACACTCTCCTCTCTCTTTTCAAATATCTTCTTTCTCCACCACCCCACACACACCTACCCATCGATGTGTTATCTGTGTATGTGTCGTCAAAGATTCTCCGTCCACATTGTCGCGTTATCACGAATTTTTTCCATCGAACCGATTAGCCTTGGAACAGAATTTCTGGATCTCACGTTGATCAAGACCTCGCAGAGCCGCGTGTTTTTTTAATCGGATCGTAATTGTTTGTTTGTGCATACGGAAGGGAGTGGTAAGTACGTCGAGCAAATTCCTCTCTCGTTTTTTCTTCTTTTTTCTTCTTCTTCTTTTCAATAAGATTTTTTAAGCGGACGCCGCTGGGTATGTATGATCTTTTGGATGTTCCTTTAAAAAAAAAACAACATAGCAAAAGCGAGATTCCCAGTAGACGAGTCACTCGTTTCGTATACTCGCCGCCTATAAATCGCTTCGACGTGCATGATTACCGCCAACATCTTCTCTCGATTCTCCTCGATTTCGACACCTTTCAACCACTCTCCCCTACTCTTTTTATTTGCAGAATCGCGTCAGGTTTTTTCCGGCGACGCGACACGAGTGTCGCGCGATTTTTTATTTAGGTTTCGTTCTGATCGCGAGTTCTCGCGAGTTTCCATAAGAGCTCTACCATTTCGCTCTCGTTTCGTTCAACCCCCTTTTTTGCCACCCGTTTGGTTCTAGGATCGCGGCTCCTGGATTTCGTGCATACTTTTCGCGTGTTCCAATCACGGTGGCTGACCTTCGCGGGCCTCCTGAATTATTCCGCACGCGCGACCTACCGCCAATTATTCCGTCACTCTCGCTTTTGGCGCGCCTCTCGTTTCGGCCGGGCATTCCTTGGATTAAAAAGGTCGGCGAATTATGCTAGTTAATAATCCACGAGCCGCATTGTTCAGCCGTAACGGCGAGCGATTCGCGCCATGTTTGATCTCGAGAAGAGAAGAACCACTATTGGAACGCTTTTGACAACGAAGGTGAACGCAACTTCCTCGAGCTTGTTGAACTTACTTTTCCCGAACCTGGTTTATTTGTATCTGCATGCGTGCCGCAACTTTCGTTGCCCTCGTTTCTCCCACGTTCTTTTCTCGCTAAGGCGCGCGACCTTCTCGTCGATCGGACAGAAACGGCGATCCCGCGGTGCATCCCTCCCCGAATCACCCTCGCTTCTTATTTCGACCGAGAGACAGCACCGGACTAGAGAACGAACCACCTTTTACAAAGAAATGCTCCCCCCGCGTGTGCTACCTTTGAAAAATAAAAAAGAAACTCCCACTTTTTATCTGTCCCGTTTTCTCTTTGCGAATACGATTGAAATGTTAAGCCTTGATGTTTATCTGTTGCCCGCATCCGTCAGGATTGGCCGAAATTCGCGCAGCAGCTCATGGAACTTGGTTGCACCTGGAGCACGCAGATAGAGGTGAAATAACGCCCTTGGCGAACAATATGAAACTCATTTCTATATCCTCTCACCCGAACAATCGACAAATCGAGAGCTTCTCGCCATCGACTATCTCTTCTTCCCTCCTGTCATTTGTCTTTCTTTACTCTTCATTATTACTACCGCTAACTAACAAAACACGATCGACGGAGATAACGCGGTAGTGTTTTTAATCGCGGGTGTTCAACGACGCGTTTCGAGAGCTCGTTTTATCGTGAGAATCGGGCGTCTTTTAGAGGCCGGGGGTGAATAGACCGCGGTGAAACGGACGTACGATTTTAACAAGAAAGGTCGCCGATTCGCGTGTTGACGCTCCTCTGTTTCATCT